GTGTCGTGTATTCCTCAACCAATTCACATATAGAGACCATAAGTCGCTTGAATTATAATCACTGCCACAGAGTTTGATAGCCCTTTCAAACGTAACAATGATTTCATTGTCGCTCTTATTTAAGCGAATCAATTGTTGAATGAAATAAATCCATACATCGATACTAATGGGGAATGCATTGACCGCTCTCTCCAACACATCAAACGCTGTCCTCTCGTTAGACATTTGGAGCTCATATTCGGCAAACTTTTTCCAATAAACATAACAATAGGGATAGTGTGAGAGAAAGCCATTGTATATCTCTCTAATTGTTTCGATACTATTCTGTGAAATATTTATTTATAGCGAAAAACACATTCAGAGGAAAGAAAGAAATAATTTATGAGAAACTAATGTCTCTTTTTTGTTAATGAGAATCGGATACCATATGTTTGCATAATTGCAATAATAGAGTCCAACTGACAAAATCTGTCGGATTATTGCGGACTATTTGCCAGAGATGTTCCCATTCTTTGCCATTAATACTATTACTACTCGATTCACTACTCACTGAAAAGGAAAACACAAATTATCTATAAATACCATAAGTGTTTATCTCTTTGAGTTTGTTTATATACCGGTCTTTGAATTTGACATTATTTGTTGAATCGGATTCAAAACTATGTGTTCAGACACTTAATGCCACACTTTTTTTCCTGTTGCAAAACTGGGTAAATTTAATTCAAAGAAAAGTTACGGAAACATAGGAATCAAAAACATAAATAAAAAATACAATAATATGTTGGTATGTGTTTCGCACCTGTTTTGCGATGTAATCGATTTGAACACCTTTTCAAACAATTATCAAATGATAAATATTTTACTATAAACTTAATTCCTGTGAATTAATATCTTTTTACTCTCGTTATTCACTTCTAACAATCCAACCCCCTAGCTTGCCCATCACCAATCTTGATGAAATATATATCGTTGGAAAGCTGATGGCAAATAAAAATCATTGGCATAAGTGAAAATTCTGCCTAGGGGGCTTAGGAGGCTTAAAAGGGGGTTAAAAATTATTTTTAATGCATATAAACATACAGGAGTATTGCAGTGTAGCCTACCCACAAGCACAAGCTTCACACGCTATGCATACATTCCATAGCCCCTATGCGCTTTTGGAACATAACCCCCTTTTAAGCCTCCTAAACCCCCTAGGCAGAATTTTCACTTATGCCAATGATTTTTATTTGCCATCAGCTTTCCAACGATATATATTTCATCAAGATCGGTCATGGGCAAGCTAGGGGGTTGGATTGTAAGCAGTAGTTTATAACCAAAAACCGTTGTAATGAATGAATTACAATAAACACACAAAATATTTATCGTTTTCTTTTAAAAAAGTTGAGTGTATTTCCGAAACTAATCACTCGTTTAATATATAGTGTATAATAAGAGTATATTTGTACAGATGTTTCAGTTCCCAAAACTTCTTTTGACTTTTAATTTATATTTAATTAAATGAAAGGAATATTATGCGAATCATGCAAAATGTTAATAAAATTTTAATTTTCAAAATTTACATTTAGTGGATATTTCTCGCGATTGATAATTAATTGTTTGAAATGTCATTTAAAACAAATGGCAAACATTATAATTGTTTATAAACTTTAAATTAAAATAAAGTTTAATAACATTGAATGAAACGAAACAAAAAGAGACAAAAGTATAATACAGTAGTCGACAAGTTATGGATAATATACGCAAAAAAAATTTGTTCAAAAAAGTTTCAAAAAACAGTTATTCTGAAAAATATGTTCTTAGAAATTGTTGGAAAGTGTTTTGAACAGAGTTTTTAAATGGATTAACGGATCATTTTATTTGAGCTTAAGATACAATACAAAAAAGTGAAGACCGTATTGTGTTTTTCGCAAGAATTGTAATAAAACGCTGAATAAAGTTATAAATAAATATGTGTTGACTATAACTATAAGACGACTTTCATATATAACTCAATTTATTGCCATTAGTTTTTGGGAATCAAAACAATTTGGAATATAATTTATAAATACGTTAACGAATTGATTGATCGGTAAAAATGTATTTTCGATAAAAATTGCTGTAAATATAAGAAGTGTTTTGAAATCGAATTAATTGAATTGATTGTCGAAAATGACTGCAAAATATATTTCATAACAAAAATTTGTGCTAAAACTCAGTCTCTGCGCAAATAGTAGTCATAGAAACAGATTATAGTATAGAAGAGGAGAGAGAGAGGGAGAGGAAGAGAGTGAGAAAGAGAGGATGAGATATGCAGTAGTGCTGAGAGTGAATGCTATTTGGAGTAAACTCTGTGAGGGAGAGGAGAGGGTGAGTGAGAGGTATAAGTGAAATAATGGGAGAGTTTATATGAGAGAGTTATTAGAGATTTGTTTGAGTTGTGAGAGAGAAGTGAGAATACGTGAGAAAGAAGATCGATATCTAGTATAGAGTATAACGTTATATAGAATTACGCTCTCATTGTAAGACTGAATGGATTCGTTGAAAAAATAATAAAATGTCGTTATGTTTAGTCTATATATCACTAAATCGTTTCCATTGACTATTCCTTTAGTCATAATTTTGATAGGAATTAAGAATTTAATGTTTAGAGATGTCGTCCATATGTTTCATCTGTGAGCTACCGATTCTCTCGCACCAGACATGGGATACATGGACTCAACCCCAGCCTCTCGGCTGTCAACAAGAATTGCCCAATATTTACCACGAAGACTGTCTTAATTGCTGTATATGTGTCGCCAGAATTAAACAGGTATTACTATATATCCAATACATCACTCAATTTATTTAATTATTTATTTTATTTAATTTTTAGCTAAGATTTTGAATTAAATTTATATCGTTTTTCTCTAATGTATTATTTCATTCATATTTATATTCTGTAGTATTTATAGTATTCGTAATGTTTTTCAATATTTCTATATAATCATTAAAAATTCTAACAACACATTTATTGTTGTATTTTAATATATAAATAATTAATAATTGTTTAAATCATAGGGCAATGGATCGGCCAAAAGGCACGGCAACAAAGTGTACTGCGCTCTACATTACGGAGACATATGTGGTCTGACGGGTGGCGAAGATTTTATGGGAAAATTGAAGGAATTTAAACGTCAAAGTCTGGGATGTGCTGAAGCCCGTAGAAAGAGCAGCACTACCTTATCGTTTCCAATTCCCGTCCAGGCCTGTCCAGGTATACCACACTTCACATACATATACTTCATTCAGTTATTAAATTAGTTATATTTCACTCCCAAACCGATAGGTTCTCCCTATTGTACAGGATTTCCACACAACGTTAAACCGACGGCCGGTTATTGGATTGAATGTAAGGGCGGAACGCATTCGGCAAACATTGAAAACGAAAACGATTTTGAAATCAACTTAAAGACCAGAAAAGAGAGCATTACTCTCGTAACGGGAGATCTGAGTTCATATAGACCACAGCCGCCGACACCAACAGTAGAGGTGGTGTTGACTCGACCGAGACTTGAGAGACAGGACACCAGCAAATCAACGAACGACGAGTATTTTAGTCAAGACTCGTATAATTTCTTACAAATTGAGAGTCAAAGACCGAAAACTAAAGATGATATCGAGTTGTATCGAAAGCCATACGTACCCCCCGTCACGCCTAACATCACAATCACTATAGTCCAGCCCACGTCACCCCCGGCCAGTCCGCCGGCGCCATCACCGCCTCCGCCATCCTCTCAGTCCAAGGAAGCGAATCAACAGCAGACCAAAGAAAGTGATGATCCGTACGAATTGATCTCATTTGAAGAAGAGATCTTCGAGAAACACTATTACGGACGCGAGCACTGGAACTACTTCACCAATGATGAGGCGTTGGGACCCGTCATCCTCAGCCTTAAACAAGAGACCTTTGGAGGTCGCGACCAGTTTAGGATATTATTGCGGACCATCTCGTACTCAATGCATGGTTTAGTGCCCGCGTCAGCCATTTTCGCAGATCGTTACGATAGGGAGGCAGTAGTCAGAGCGTTGGGCAATGAGGCCGGCCTTAAACCTGCCCTAGCGTTGGGTCAGTTGCCCTCCACTTCTGACGAATTACTTAAATTAGATCAAGTCTTCATTAAATCCGAATTAAAAGTTGGAGTCATTTATATAAAAGCAAATCAAGTGAATAGCGAAGAGACGATTCTCAGTAACAAAACAGAATCCCATCTCTTCTCGGAATTCCTGTCAATACTCGGCGACAGAATTAGATTAAAAGGTTTCGACAAATACAAGGGAGGATTGGATACGGGTATGCATTACGAGTCACTACTTTTGTTGTGATTACAAATCTAATGACAATGTTATCATTTAGTACACGACTTGACGGGAACCGAATCAGTTTACACGGCATTTAAGAATATAGAGATCATGTTTCACGTATCAACAATGCTTCCACACGAAGAGTCTGATCCACAAAAGCTTCAGAAGAAGAGACATATCGGCAATGATATCGTTTGCGTTGCATTTCTTGAGGCAGAAGAGGCGCCCTTTTGGCCCGGTTTGTACTCATTTCACGCATTCATTTCAATTAATGGCTAAATTTTAAACAATAATCTAATATTATTGTCCTAAAGGATGCATAAAATCCCATTTTTTACACACATTTATTGTCGTCCGGACGAGTCCTAAGCCTGTAGAAGCGGGAGAGACGAGGAAATACTCGGTATCTGTCGTTTGTAGAGACGAAGTGTCGGCGTTTAAGCCTTATCTTTGGCACGAATCCGAGTTTGAAAAAGTAAACTACTATTTGTTTTTTTGTTTAATTAATGATTTTTAAAAAATTACTATCGTTTTCATTGATTACGGGGAAAACTATTAATAAAAAATATTCTTTTTTCTCTTCTTGTAAAAAGGGCTCACATTTCAGAGAGTGGTTACTGACGAAGATTATCAACGGAGAGAGAGCCAGTTATTCTGCGCCCAAATTTGCCAGAATGCAGGTCTGTGTTCATCCACTTTCTCTCCCAAACCCTCATTTCAATGTGTGTTTAGTCTATTCTTGTGCTCCAATTAATTATTTATTAATTTTTTATAATTGCATTAATTATAAACAATAATCCAAAAGCGATAATGAGTTCATTGACTCGGTTTTAACATTTAGTTTAAATGAACGCTAAACTAACCACACATTGAGAGTATTGACAAAAAACAAAAAAACTAATGATTTAAATGTCATGTTATATAATAGGATCGCACAAGAAGTCAGATGTTAGAAGACATTGTAAATAATTTAGCCAATCATTTAGCCACCGGTCAAATACCAAAGCCCTATCGACGGGGAAGTTGGCGACCAATCGGACACATGAGGCCATCGAGTCCTCTCTTAGACAGTGTTAGGGATCTGTTTGAAGGTTACGATCAAATAGCAAAGGACTTCAACAACGCCTTCTACGGCAACGCGAAACTCTTGTGCGACGTTGTCTTCAATGTGATGGGATCTCCAGTGAATGGCGGCCACGAGAATCAGGTCCGACGGATATACGCCGTCAGAGCTATTCTAGCCATAAGAAGTCGAGTCTTCCTGGAAATGCTGTACGGCTTCGCAGCGCCGAAAGGACAGTCCAACGCCCCGGACGGACAGGTGGTGTCGCACACCAACGCCGCCATCAGCGCCACAATCGGCACGACTGCAGCGCAACAACAGACCAATAATCAGGAGAAGAAGCTTAAGAAAAGGGATAGCATTACAGAACAGGCGAAGAACGCCATCACACAAGTTCTGGTGCCGCCGAAGATCATTGCGCCCAACAGTGACGCCAAGAAGAAGGAGAAGGACAACAGGAAAGCGTCGTCGGCGTCCACGATGTCGACGACACCCTCAGCACAAAAAACTCCTACATATCTGACAGTTCCCGGAGCCAGCGGTGGCGGTGTCTTCAAAACGTTTAAGACGTTTATGTCCGGCTCGTGGAGCGGTTGGGGCTCTAAGGGTCGCAACGATAGTATGAAACGATGGCAAAGCGAATCGTTTTATGCAAAACTCGAGAGCACTGGTGTGGAAGTGCCGGGCCTTTCGGTCTGCGCCGATGTCGCCAAAATTGACAGAACAAAACTCGCACAAAACGAGGTAAATATTGAACACATATAACTAATTATTGGTGACACCGATTGTTTGCCAAACTGACCACTACTTACTGTGCATTAGTTCACAATCATCGAGTTCGACGGCGACACGTTTCAGCTGCTCATTGAATACCTGCACTCTGGCTCGTGTCCCATCACTTGCGACACCGTTCCGGGCCTGATCTGCGCGGCCGAGCACTTCGATCTGCCCGACCTGTTACAGGCGTGCTTTCATCACACCAAGACTCACCTCAAGCTGAATGTTGTGCCCCGAATGTTGAACCAATTGGAGAACTACTATTGGCGGTACACCAGCGCCAGCCAATTGGTCAACACTATCTTGAATTATGTGGACCCGAGGGCTAACGCTCTGTTCGCCCGTCAGGAGTACCTCCAGTTGAGTGAATCCATGTTACAAACGATACTCACGCGACAGAACGTCATCATGAGTGAGACTAAGAAATTTCAGGTCATGTTTCAGTGGTCTCTACACAAAGTGAAGACCGACCGCACCGACAGACCCGACGCCCAGCGAAACGATAAAATCCAAACGACAAGAGTTAATGAATTGCAGGCCATTATGAATAGAATGACTCGCGATCTCAAACTGCATAAAATACCGCCACAGGATCTCATCAAGGTACTTTCTACAGTATTACCATGCTCATCATAACATTTATAGCAATTTTTCGTTTCAATTTACAATTTTATTTCATTGTTTGTAATAATAATTATATTAAAAAACAATTGATTATACAATCAAAGTATTGGAGAAACCAATATAATTAAGACTAACATTTGAATGGTTTGGTCCAACAGATAGTACTGCCATCGAAGACAATCAGTCACGAGAGGATATTAGCGACGCTTCTATATCAGGCGGACTCCGGAATATATCGCAACTCAGAATTTGGCAATTGATGTCTTTGTTGTCCACAAAATGTTTGTTATTTATTGATTGATAGAAAGTTTAAAACAAAATCTATAAAAGCAAAAAACCGAGTTATGAGTTGCAAAAAACGATTACAATATATATAAATTATATACAGTATACATAAAAACAAATATAAATATTATTATTGTTATAAAACATATATTTTTTGCTTTTAAAATGAATGTTTGAATATTTTGTTAATTATTTGTAATATTGAGCCCATTTGTAGTCAATGACAATAAACCTCTTTTCCAGTCATTGATTGTTCTCAATGGCACTAATAATTGCTTTGGGAAAGTTGTATCAATGGCTTGAAATCACTTCTTACAAACCATTTTCTATTACTTTCCATCAATTTTATTAACATTTCATCAATTAATTACTAAAAGTAGATAAGTTTCTTACCAAATATTTTATGGCAAAAAGCGGCCGTAATCTGAATATAGACTAGACTTCCGTATCGATGTCTCCCAATACCGTTGAGACGACAATAGCCACGACTTTTCCGACGCGTGCGAAGAGTTGCGACCATTTTCTGATGGATTACGTTTTGCCGGCGCTTTCATCACAGCATTCAATAACTCCTTTTCATCGCCGCTAATGACAGTCACGTAAACACTTCTTCCCAGCAATGAATTGATAACATTAGTCGTCTTTTTATCAACCATTTTGGTCTCACTGTTCCTAAAGAAGATAATGATATCTGCTTTTTGAGTGGTCTCTCCGACCATCATTATAGCGGTGGCCATCAGTTTAATGAGATGAATGTCTAAAACCCAATCCATTACTATTATTAAGTAATCAGTGGTCGCGAAGAGAAACGATAAGAGTTGTAATGAAATCATAAATGAATAGTTTTCAGGTTCAGAGATATCGACGCCCGTCGACGACAGTGGCGGACATTTCTGGAGATATTCGTCCAGAACTGATGCGCTCAACAGTGGCTGAAATGGTATTCAAAGTAATCGTTAAAAACAATGTTATTGACAAACAATTCAAGTGCTTTTACTTGAGAGTCGAGAAGAAGTAGTCTCTCTTTAGTGATATGAAGTTTCACTCCTTTAGTCTTGTGTTTAAGCGGTCTTTCACTGTATTTATTGCTGTGAACTCTGAACACATCTCTACCGGCGATCAGATTCAGTACCGAAGACTTGCCGACGCCATCCATACCCACAGTGGAAATGACCGAAAAGCCAGAGGCAGTCATGGCGTCACTCAACAGGAAATCGTTGGCCGGACTCTCCAGAAACATAAGGCTTTCGCTGTCTATTAAAGTCATGACTGAAGGCATGGCTGCCATCAATTCGTTGACGGCGTCGTCGGCCGCCGACTGAGTGCTGAACGCGCCGACAGATTGCGCAGATTTGGTCACCGAAGACATGTGTCCCGTATTGGAGGCGTTGGCGTTGGATGTGTTGGAAGTGTTGACATTTTGATGCTGTTGTTGGGAATGCAATGAAGACATTATCTGAATAGTGGGAACGGGTGTGACGGCCGTCGACTGCGAGCCCGACGTCAATATAGACACAGCTGTGGGTGTATTCGACTTCTGGTTCGGGTTTTTGGCCAGAATTACGACACGAGAGTTATGTGGAGGCGATTGCGACGAATGGCCGGTCCGTCGGTTCCGCTCATCGGTTGACGTACTTCTGTTGTCTGCGTCCCGATTGCGACGCCTCTGTTGTCTTCGCGGCTCTATTGATATCTTGTTGTCCATTGTGTTCGGGTGTGGGATCCGTTGTAGTGATCACTTGCCACACGTGTTCAACCAATGCATGCCATGATTGCCATCAAACGTATCATTAGTTTCACAATCAATGGATTGAACGCTAAAAACAAAATACACTTTTCGTTACAAACAATGAGTCATATGTTGTAGTAATACACGTGTTTGTGGCCAAACATTCGGTACCTTTTCATATACACTATATTACACACAAATGAATGCATTGAACGCCTATTCGCTGCATAACTAAAGGGACGACTGAATCGGTTTGCGTTTAACACTCACTGACTGTTTCGTCAAACATTGATAAGTGATTTGTTGTCATCAAAAAAGTGTTCATTTGTTTCGCAAATACTTTTTTCACACAATTTTTGGTCAAGAAATCCATTTGAATGTCAAACACATCGCAAGTGATTGTATGCTAACAGACATCTGAAGACACCATTGAAGACAACGATCACAAGAAGAAGTCGAAGAATAAGCAGTAGAAGAGGAAGACGTGGAGATGTCGTACGGAATCAATGACTTCGAGCAAAGTCAGGGCCCGACCGACCAGTACTACAACCCGTCGGCTCCGACCGGAAGTGTTGGCTACGAATTCGGTCAATTCGATTACTCAGACCACGAGTACAACACCGCCGGCACCGCAGACCACCCGTTGGCCGCCCCTCAGGCCCTCTTCACGCCGTCACCCGTCGCCGGCTTCGATGCGGACCCCTTCACGGGAATGCCCGGCCAGAGGGCCACCGATCCGTACGCCGACGAACCACCACTACTCGAAGAGTTGGGCATTAATTTCGACCAAATCGTGCAGAAGACTTACGCCGTGTTGAATCCGTTCCGCAGACCCGACCCCTCAATACTGCACGACTCAGATCTGGCCGGACCTCTGGTCTTCTGCTTGGCTTTTGGCTCATTTCTATTGCTGTCGGGAAAAGTGCAGTTCGGATACGTCTATGGCTTCGGAGCGCTCGGATGTCTCTCTATCTATTCGTTACTCAATCTGATGGCCACACCAGACATCTTCATATCGATCGCCTGCACTGTCTCTGTGTTGGGCTATTGTCTGCTTCCGATGGTTGTATTGTCGGGTCTGTCGGTTATATTCAGCCTAAAAGCGTTAATCGGGACGATATCGGCGCTATTGGCCATCACGTGGTGTGCAATGAGCGCCTCAAAGCTGTTTGTAATCGCACTGACACTTCACAACCAACAGGCGCTCATCGCATACCCCTGTGCTCTACTTTACGGCGTTTTCGCCCTCTTGACTGTCTTCTAGAGTTTATATCTTCAAAATTATTATATATTTTTTGTATTGTTTATTATCGGAGATCTGCCAGCGTTTGAGTGCATGTGCTCTGACCGTCAGCACTGGTTATGTCTATCGAGTGCTCTGTTGTATAGCTTTTCATATAACAAGAAAATAACTTCAAAACTTCAATTGAAGTGATTTTTTCTCTGACACTCAATATGTGTTGGGATTGTGAGCCAACTGTGCACTCAATGCTTACATATTTCTGTTAATTTATTTGTAATAAAAAAACACAAACTTTTATTTCGATATAATAATAAATATCAGCAAAAAATCTATTCAAAAGAAAGTGTATTTCATTTTTGTTTTGTTTTTATGATAAAATCTTTATATTATAAAATGGTTGTGTTTTTGTTAAGAATATTATAAATTATAATCTCATAATTAATGCGAAAAACTTTCAAATTAGGGAAATTACAAGCCTTTCTCACAACAGCCCATATTTAACACATTTACTGACAAATTGCCATTAATTGTGTGTTAAATAAACATAAATTAGATAATAAAGTGACCTATGTCCTAATTGTACAAATCACTTATTAATGCTAATTTCATCTAAAAATTCAAATAAATAACTAAATATTTAAATTTAGTTTATATTTTAATGGATTGCCGAATAGTATATGAATAGTATAGTTACGATACAAAACGACAATTATATTAAGAAATGTATGAATGTGTAAAGGGATGCGGATCTGAATTGAAGATTACATTGTTTTATGTGTTTTACAATACTGTTTATTCATTGAAATATACAAATGGTTTCTCAAGAGTTACCACAAAATGAGTGGGATTTTGGTCTTAGGATGGGTTTGAGAGACAAGAAGGGAATTCACTGGAACCTGAAGTTTCCGCACTATTCCTTCACTAAACACTATTTGGCAAAAGATTTTCTTTTTTTATTTGACATTAAAAATAAATATATTTTGTTTTATTTACAAACATATAGAAAGACACCCTTAATATAAAATACAAATTATTTAAAACTAATTCTCTCCCAAAGGGTTTATTAAACGCTTAAAATAAATTTTTGTAATTTATTTTTAAGGCTTCGAAAATTTAGTGAAATAACATTTAATAAATTGGATTTGTCTGATAGTAAGGGTTGCCTAAAAAATGTTGATTTAATCGGGAATTTGGCTGTGAATAGGATGGAAATGAAGGGACAGATTGGTTAGTATAGAACGGGTTGTTGTGGTTTTGGTATTGTGTTTGGTTTACATAATGTTTTTTATTCTGAAATCTATTGTGAAATATTCGAGTATTTTTATGGTAATTATTGTGATTATTATTGTTGTTATAAAACCTTTTATTTTGATGAAAGTTTTGGTGATTTCGTGATTGATTGCCGTTAAAGTTCACATTTCCCCAATAAGTGAATGAATTTCTTATTGAGATTCATTCAAGCGTTTAGTTTTTCAGATCGTTTTTAAAGTTTTCGGAATAAATGTTTTCAATCGAATAGACATTTATTTTGAGTGCAAAATCGCCAATCGATACCATAATATGCGAGATATAAAGCCCTTGTTATAAATGAAAAGTTTATTTTTATATTCAATATAAAGAGTAGTTTTATAGACGGAAGAAGTGGAAGAGAATTCTCTCCCTTTTGTCAAAATCCCGCTTAAGCTTTGATTTTTAAAACTTTAAGCTTATTCTCGGCGAATATAACGCAAAACGACGACTTCTCCAATGCTTTGCTCGCATTTATATATAAAAATCGTTCAAATTATATAAAATTCCTATTATTATGGTTTGAATGAGTAATACATTTGTGAACTAAAATAATCTCAAATGAGAGCTTAAAGATTAGATCCGAACATAACTTTTATATAGTTATTAGAGTCTTGTTTTATAACCATTTGTAGTGAACATTCACTACTGATCTCTTTCGGTCTTATCTTTTCTAATCTTTTAGTGTTTTTGTGTTCATTAGTGTATCATTTAATCGATGAACAGATGAACAGCTGTACTGAAGATGTTTTGCAGCGAATAACATGTTTTGAAAGACAAAACTCACAAATACTTTCCATTATTTTTCCGTTCATATAATGAATTGTCATTTTCGCTGAATGTTAACGAAAAACAAAACAATACATTTCACCAAATGATAAATTATAACAACTATTAGATCTATCGATTCTGGGCTACCATTGAATTGAATCATAATCATAATTGAAAGTAATTTTTCAACACAAAAATACTTTAAATCACTTCAAATCGATGCCATAATTTAAGAGTTAATAAAAACATTTATTCCGTTAAACAATTTATTTGGATTTCAATCGCCAGAAACTTATTGTTTGAAAACATTTTGATTGCATTCCTCGTACAGTATATCATAAACCTTTCCAACGGGATTTGTACAGTAGCTCTCTCTCTCTCTCTCTCTCTCTCTCTCTCTCTCTCTTTCTCTCTCCTNTCTCTCTCTCTCTCTCTCTCTCTCTCTCTCTCTCCTTTCAATCACTCTCCTCTCTATTGCTCTTTTGATGTGAAAGATTTTTTTTTGAGAAACCCTTCGAGTAATTCTTTTTCTCCCATTTTTATTGAAATCCATAATATATTTGCCCAAAACTGTGGGTTTATTTTTAAACTCTAATAAAAATAAAATTTTATTATTTGAACTAAAATTGAGCGAAAATTGTTTGAAAGACAAGTAAGGAATAAATATATTCTACATTTCGATTGAATCCTCAGAAAGTGTTTCACATTATAACATGTATTTTACGCTATATTTACTCTTTTGCTTCTTTCAATTTTGTTGTCATTCTTCACAAATCAGACACAATATTGTATGCAATGTATAATAAAGCAAATCTACAGTACATGTGAACCAAAAGTCTTAACACAACTATTTGAGAAATGCTTGTATTTTATTAGCAATTTTATTTTCATATAAAAATTCCGTATAAACTCTATATTTCATTTAAATTACATTTACAACTAGTCGTCCACTATTAGCCTTATATTTGGTTATATTTGTAATTTAATAAAATAGAAAACTATTGCCCTTTTGTGACCTCATCGGAGACTTCAAACATATCGTGTAATAAAATGAATTCAATAGAAAACAGATTAATGAAAAAATTTGTCAGAAAATTTGCAAAATTGCAAGAATTTCCAGAAAAAAATGTTATGTACTTTTGGAAGAGCAAAGTAAAGATCCATAAAATAGTTTTCATTCATTTATAGTATGAATATCTGAAATGTTTGCAAAAATATCAAAGACTATGTGGTGTTTGAATGAGAGAATAGATTGAAAAGTTAGGGCACATGTGCTGTTCAAATACAAATACAAAGAGTTTTACTTAATTATGATATAATGACACGAATGTGCACTTTAGACACGTTTCACGACTTATATTCAGTGATTAAACAAACAGTATTTTAAATAATAACCACATTTTTAAACAAACATTACAATTATATTAATTGCTTCTCACGTCTCATTCAAATAATAGTCGATTTTATTCCAAGTATTATACAGTTATTATAACAGTAATATTAGAAGAAATAATTTCTTAATACATTTTTACTTACAAATAGTTTGTATTTCTTAATTATAATATTTTTGAGACTAATCACCAGTTTATTTAAGTTTTCAGAGATAATTAGTGTATGAGTTTTGACCGATTAAAGCAAAAACACTTCTGACAATCATTATTCATGCCGTACAACAGCCCACACATCCCTCTCCTCTTTCCATCCCTTTCCCATTCAATGGCCTTACGTTTGGCGAAAGTCTTCCTCAACTAATCTAATGAATAATTTTAAAATTTGATCCAAAAATTGCTTTAAATATAAATAAAATTGTTTCTGTAGTGAAATTTAATAGAATATATTTTTATTTTGTAATAAAAAATTTAATTATAAATATGACACAAAAAATATGAATCATTTAATTACGCCTACGTTTAAGGGCTTTAAATATTTATATTTAGCTTTGAATACAAAAATATTTACAAATTTGGCCCAAATTTGTACATTATTTTGGAAATTTCAATAAAAAAGGATATAATTAATCAGTTTTTAGTTAAAAATTAATTACATATATAAGTGATGAAGAGATAACAGTGCGAAATGAATATCAATGCACACATACTTGTAGTGTAAGACAATATTCGGCCCTCTTTTATGAATTATTAATTAAATAATAATCGCATAGTTTTTGATTGAATTACTGGTTTCTGATTGCATTACATATGGTTTCCTATGAAAGGTTTTCATTACATTTTTCGTACCAAATGTTTATAAAAAAGCAAATATTTTTCATTAAATTCTTTATCGAGAAATTAATTAAAAATTTTAATTATATTTATTTCTCAATACAACCGTAAGATTAATTACAGCGACGACTGAGATATAAATATATAAGAGTTAACGATATATTAGAAAATGAGATTATATTTTATAATAGAAACTAATTTTAATATTTTTCAAAAATAATGAAAAACTAATTTAAAAACTGAGAAAATAATTACGGAAAAGAGTTTCCTTTTTGGCGATTCTTTGGACGATATATTGTTTTGTAGTTTTTAGTAATAAATGATAAAAAGGCAAAAAGAGGTAAAAGAAAGGACTCTTATTGTGTTATAATCACACCTACAGTACAGAACCGAGTGTTGAATAATTCAGCGAAACGTTCACTCGATTTGATGCGAAAGAGAAAATGAAGAATAAATTTAAACATATAATTGATATTTTTCTCGATGTTATATCAAAAGACACTCTCAAATACATAATTTGCATTTTATTCAATAGAGTATTCATTCATAAATTATGGGTTAAGTGCTTATAATCCTATTAAAAATGCTTTTATTTATTCATTCATTTAAATTGTATATTATTTAATGATTTGATTTAATTGTTATTTCTCACTGTTTTCTTTATTTCCTTGCATACAATACGAGCCATAGTTTTTTGAGTTATTTTTTCCACGAAAAAAATTCGTAAAGAAATAAAATAAA